GTATATGTCATCATCATCATTCATTTGCTCAGTAATAAAGTGACTGAGGTATTTCACCTGCTTGGTTCTACATATCAAAACAGCACTTTTAACAGAATCGTACTTTATGTCATATTGCACCATATTCAGTACAGACATTAAGAAGCACCTGCAACCCAGCACTGCTTGGACTAAAAACAACCAGGTCATCTGCATACATGAGATGATTTATCAGTGTTTTACTGTATGGACAGATCATCAACATATAGATTTAATAAAATTGCAGACTAAATCCCACCCTGTCTGACACCGTTGCTGACACCAAAGGGGGCAGAAATACTGCTTCCCCATTTAACCTGCATGTTCTGATGAGCGTACCAGTAAGAGAGAAACTCCCCCGTCTCTTCAGTTTATCAAAAGTTTTCTGTGGTTCACTCGATCAAAAGCCTTAGAGGCATCAATGAAACACATGAGGACAGATGAATTTTTAGCCCTGAACTGACTATTTCCTTGAGTGCATATATGCACATGTCAGTGCCGTGCTTTGGTTTGAAGCCAAACTGATTATCCAGAGAAGAGATGAACACACTAACTCTGTCAAACAAGATTCTTTCTAACACCTTAGATAAAATACTGGCGAGTGCAACCAGCCTGTAATTATCCAAACAGCTCACTTTGGCCGCTTTGTCCTTCATAACTGGTACCAGTAAAATACACAGCATTGAGTCTGGTAATATGCCATGAATCATAAACCCAGTGAAGCAGAGCGCTAGAAGAGGAGCTAGCCTTAAACTAGCATGTTTTAAATGTTCTGAAGTGATGTGATCCAAACCAGAAGCTTTATTATCAGATAACTATGAATGGCTTCATATACTTCATGTGTCCCTACACTTATTGTGTCATTACTAATGTCAGAATTGTCCTCATATGGTTCACTTTTTATACAGCTAAACAACGCACTTTAATGCTGTCTCCATAACGCTGCAATGTTATCTGCCCCAGAAACACCTTCAACAGTTGATGGTAGACATGGTTTACAGTTATTAAAAGCAAGTTTATTGAACCTATTAGTATTATTATTATTATTATTATTATTATTGTGCTGAATGCTGTTTTGGTCCAGTTGATCTGTTTTTGGACACTTTGTGTTTTGGTAACATGTTTCTTGTTCGAGTCTATTGTTTTTCTTCCTTGTCACAGACACTGTCTTAGTCTTTTTTTCTTATTTTTTATATTATATTTTATATTCTTAATATTGTCTTGTTATCACCTTATTTATTCATACTTGACATCTTATTTTGTTTCAATTTTTCCACTTTTTTAACTTTATTTCCTTTTGTTGTCACCTTTTTTAAAGATTCATTTCATTCTTGTTTCTTTTCACGTATTGTGTCACATTTTCACGCCTTTCTGTCTTATTTTGGTTATTTGAAACTCTTTCCTTGTTACTAGCGTTGAGCACCTTTACTTTGAAAATCTTCCCGGTGTGTTAGGCACGGCAGGGCAGAATGCGGAAGTTTGAGTAATATTAGAGAGGAAGAAGGCTTCGAGTTAAGACTGAACTTTACAGCTGGAAACTTTATCTTCGTCCTCAGCGGCAGAAAACTGAACGGTGAGTTTGTTTCTGAACATTCGCGTTTTTATCGACTTCAAACTTTATCCTCACTTCCTGTTTTAGTGGTTACGTTACGCAGATTTCAGGCCACCATCAAAAGTCGATACGAAGCCCACAGCGCGTCCGTTTCACGAGGAAGTGCGACGTACGCCAGACTTCATTCAGAATTAGGTCAATTTTAATTTCCAGGGTCGTTTCTGGAGAAAAGCGCTGAATTAAAATCATCGCAGAATCTTCAGATATTTAGTGACCGAGCCGCTCTTCATTTCGGCAGCAGCCTCTTCGTCTTTATTGTGTATTTGATCGCGGGCCGTGTGAGCTTAAAAAGTTGGTTTATCACCGAATAATCTGCAGAGTAGGGGCGTGCAGTGTGTTCAGTTTGTCGGGACACTCTTTAACCGGACATGCAGCTGTCTGTAATCACAAACTCGCTCATTATCAGCATTTCTCATTACAGTTCAGTGTTGTGGTTCAAACATGGCCGACTGGCTTCATTAACTGCTCTTATCACACCTGAGCTGTGCTCACCTGCCCCGATCACTTTCGCTTTCACTACTGTGAAAATGAGAAATTGATCTGAGATGTCCCCGCAGCTCCGCGGAGAAGCTCCACGGAGGAAGTGCAGACGGGCGCGTGCAGAAATGCATTCCGCGACCTTTTAGCGCTTTTCACTTCATTTGTACTGCGTGACGTCATGTCGACCTTATTGCTGTTTATGAAGACAAACGAGCCTGACGTCATATTTAGATCTGAGCTTTTTTTCTTTCACTGTTTGTTTTTTAAGGTGGACTTTGTGTTTCGGCTGCTCTGAAACAGGGATTTCCCATCGTTGGACATAAATACATTACATCTGTCCTTAAATCCAAACCACAGCCACCATCATCTCTCTGTGACTGCTTTCTGCTCAGCAGCTTTAACTTCACGTCCATTCAGCGTTTTAAAAAATCCCACCTGCTGTTTAGGTGCAGCTGGGTATTATTATTATTATTATTATTATTATTAAACAGATGAATAAAGGTTGTTGGTGGGATTTTAAAGGTGGTCACGTGGTTCCTGTGGAAGTGGGCGAGCATTTGAGATATAAAATGACTTCGTCTCCTGTTGAATGTGACGTAAAACAGGATTCAGTGACGTGAGCTTTGACCCCTGACCCCCTGAACAGGCGGACTGTGTGTTGATGTGGTTTCCTCCTTTGTGAACTTCGAGGCTGCTGCAGAGATGAAGTCTGATGGTGGGGCGAGCTTTAATAACGCTGCCGTCCTGAGAGCAGATCCGAGGCCTGCAGATCCGAAGTGAGGTTAACGGTTAGCGAGATTAAAGCCACAGTTTTCAGTCCTCTTTTCACCATCACCATGGTAGCTGATGCTGAGCACGCCTGACTTGAAGTGTGTTTAAACAGTTTTTGTGCTGAAGAAGTTTTTGATGTATGAAACCTGCTGAGCTGGAACTCACCGACTCCGCTGAACGAAGCCCAGCGTTGAACGTAACCTGCCCTAGAGCAGTTTGGGGCAGCAGCATATGTTGCCATGGTGACGTATCTTTGCCGTTATCCTTTCAGGTTTACCTGCCAGTCCAGGTAAGCCTGAAGTTTCCTCTAAGCCGCAGGTCCCGCCTCGTGCTGCCGGCCTCTGGTGTGAGATTCGAGTGACAGTTACGGCTCTGAAATATTAGCACTGCAGGTTTTTGTCCCGTTTAGAGCAGAAACCATGAGTGTGTGGTGTTCGTGATCTGACGTCTCTGTTCTCTCTCTCAGCTCCATCATGGCTGAACAAGTTTATACTCCCACCACGACCCCAAACCCCGGGAAGAGCTTCTGCCTGATCCCTTCGGCCCACCTGGACAGAAACCGCTTTATCCTGAAAGTCGTTGAAGTGGTGAGTTCAAAGATGCTCAGACTCATGTGACTCTTCGTTAGCCAATGAGATGCTTTCGTTTAGCATTCACTCACACCTGCAAACTGTGTGAAACCTTCAGGGTTTCCTCATCATCGCAGCTCATTGGCTGAAACTGAAACGTGTAAAAGTCTGAGTCTGCTGAAAGTAAGCTTCATTTTTTTCACTCCTTCACTTGTTTTTACACTGAGCTGCTCTGTGAGCTGACACTGACATCATCAGCGTCCTCTGTCTGCACGTCTGCAGACTTTCAACTAAAACTGTTCAAGTAAAATATTCAGTAAAAAAAATCACGACCTTCCTCAGATTTAAAATTAAAGAATTAAAAGTTGTTTTTATTTTAAATCAGTGATATTTAGTTGGAGATTGGGATTATTTAAACATTAATGTTGGTAAATGATTAAATCGTCCTTCAGAATAAGTTTCAGATATTTGTTGCTCGCTCTCAGGCTCTGCCCGACCTGCACGCGCTCTTTAAACTTCCTTTAACAGCGAGGATCGCGCCCCTGCAGGAAGACGCCGGCCCTTCCTGTGGAGAGGTGCCCGGTTTCCTGTCCGGTGTGGTGAACAGTAGCTCAGTCTGAACGCTGTGACAGAAGAGCAGCTTTCTGATGCTTCAGAGAGGAAAGATTCATGATTTAGGTGCTGAAACTGAAACTGTGTTTGACATGTTGCTGAAACTTTGCCTCAGATGTCTTAAAAGACTCTTCGTCTCTGCTCCCTCGCCTCTGACTCTGCTGTGGGTCTGATGTTTCTGTGACCGTCCACTGTGCAGGAAAACAATGCAGCTGCTGCTCTGTGACTTCCATGAATTATGCACATGTGCAGCGATCCTGCAGCTCAGTGTTGGTGAAGCAGAGTTCAGCTCTTTACATGTCAGAGCTGCAGAAGGAGTCGCAGTGAAGAAACGCACATGCAAACACACGGGGCCTCGGGCGTGCGGGCGGGGCCTCGGGCGTGCGGGCGGGGCCTCAGCTCTGCAGATCATAACAGCCAAGAGAAAAGTGACCACTGACCATCTGCAGGCTGGAGCGTATAAAACAACCTGAAGTGACGAGTGATGTCTTGGTGGCCACGCCCAGCTGTGTAGCTGACAGGATCTGTTCTAGTTTCAGCTCATTTCAGGGTCGTTACTGTGGAAACCCCCAAAAACTGAAAGCGACCGGCTGCAGAGTCGATCCTCGGCGAGTCTCTGCAGGCTTACGACCATCAGCTGACTGACAGGAAACACTGTGAGCGTGAGAAATGGTGACACAGTCTGCACTCGTCACCGGTCTGTTAGCGATGATGATGATGATGATGATGACTTGTTTGCTGCTTTTAAAAAGACTTGTAACTCTGAGCATTTGTCACCTGAGTTGGATCCATGCAGGTGAGGTGATGCTGTAATGTCCCGGCAGACAAACATGCTAAAATAGGCGAGGAGTGATGAAGGTAACCAACAATAATATCATCGCTGTGGACAAATCCTCCTGGACCGAGACCAAAACAGCACCTGAGCGCTGCTTTCAGGATTAAAGCAGGTGTGCTTTCACCTCAGTTTGTTAGGATGTGCAGCACGCTCCTCACACGGCCTGCCTTCAGGCTGCTCAGCACAGGAAATGCTTCCGCAGTTTGTGGTGCGTTGACAGTCACTGCCAGTAATCAGACAGGAAGCTGCTCCACTCTCCTGCAGATCTGTTTGAAACGGGCTTTGCAGCTGGAACCAGATGTTTAACGGAGGCCTGAACACAGCTGATGTGTCTTAGTTTGACCTCACGAAGTGCTGACCTGCTCGTGTTTAATAACTCCAAAGGAAGGATCTGTCATCAGCGTCGTCTTGTTTCATGAGGGATCCCCTCGCTCTTATTCTGAAAGTTCAGTTGCTGCTAACTAACTCGCCCAAGCACATCCTGTCCTGTGTTTCGCCCTCTGATCCAGTTCATGTTGTGGTCACACGTATTCCAGCAGCCGGTGGTGGACGGCAGCAGCCCCGCCGTCCTGGGAGACGAGCAGACTAACAGACAACAAGAGCTGCTGATTATTTGCTCGTCTATTTGGTACGAAGTACTTCAGAAACCAAACATGTGCAGAGCAGAGTTACGCGTGCGCCTGTGTGCGTGTATGTAATGATGTACACAGCGGTGATATTACCACAACAACACTGTGGGACATG